TAGTGGCTATGTTTCTGACGTACAAGGAAATAAAATACAAAATGTATACTAGATACCCGGTACTCTGAAACTCATTCAGCCCAAGTTTGGCTGAAATTGATTCACCAGTTTCAAAAGAGAAGATTTTTTAAAGTAAAATTTTGGTCATATCAAAACTTATTTGTAGATCTTACTTTGCTGAACATTTTTACTGTTTACAGTTTATCTTTATCTATAATAATATTCAAGATAATAACCGAAAACAGCAAAATTTCCTTAAAATCATCAATTCAGGGGCAATAACCTAACTAGAGGCTCTCAAGAGCCTGTGTCGCTCACCTGATTCTACTTTGGTTTTGGAAATCATGTTAAAATAGATTAAAATCATAACAGATACCCTAATAATGAGTGAGGCCAAATTTGGTTTAATATTGGCCCTGTAATTTAATCATAAATAAAATGCTCCGCTGGGCGCAGCTTGATACGACCTGAACAGTTGGGGCAAGTATGGACACAACATTCAAGCTTGATACAGCACTGAATTTGGATTGTGATTAAATATTTGACACAGCATAGGTTTCTGACACAGAATGAATGTGGTCTAAGAACTTAAAAAATTTTAATTTACCTATTCAAACCATATTATTATTATTTGCTTTTATATATAAATCAGAAATAACCAGTTTAAAATGGAAAATTTTAAAGAAAAGAAAAGGAAAAAAAATCACCCCCAAATTTTTTGAACCCCCTTATGATTCATCATCCCCAAACTCAATCCCAGCCTTCCCTTTGTGGTATGGTACCTTGCAGTACAATTTCAGAGAGATCCATACACTTGAACACAAGTTATTGTCTGGAAACTAGAAAAATGCTTGTTTTTTTGCCCCTTTTTGGCCCCAAATTCCTAAACGTTTAGGGCAATTACCCCCAAACTCAAACCCAGCTTTCCCTTTGTGCTATGGAACCTTGTAGTACAATTTCATAAAGATCCATACACTAACACACAAGTTATTGTCCTGAAACTAGAAAAATGCTTGTTTTTTTGCCCCTTTTTGGTCCCTAATTCCTAAAATTTTGAGGCAATTACCCCCAAAATCAATCCCAGCCTTCCCTTTGTGGTATGATACCTTGCAGTACAATTTCAGAGAGATCCATACACTTGAACACAAGTTATTGTCTGGAAACTAGAAAAATGCTTGTTTTTTGGCCCCAAATTCCTAAACGTTTAGGGCAATTACCCCCAACCCAAACCCAGCTTTCCCTTTGTGATATGGAACCTTGTAGTACAATTTCATAAAGATCCATACACTTACACACAAGTTATTGTCCTGAAACTAGAAAAATGCGTTTTTTTGCCCCTTTTTGGTCCCGAATTCCTAAAATTTTGAGGCAATTACCCCCAAAATCAATCCCAGCCTTCCCTTTGTGGTATGATACCTTGCAGTACAATTTCAGAGAGATCCATACACTTGAACACAAGTTATTGTCTGGAAACTAGAAAAATGCTTGTTTTTTGGCCCCCTTTTCCTAAACGTTTAGGGCAATTACCCCCAAACTCAAACCCAGCTTTCCCTTTGTGATATGGAACCTTGTAGTACAATTTCATAAAGATCCATACACTTACACACAAGTTATTGTCCTGAAACTAGAAAAAATGCGTTTTTTTGCCCCTTTTTGGTCCCTAATTCCTAAAATTTTGAGGCAATTACCCCCAAAATCAATCCCAGCCTTCCCTTTGTGGTATGATATCTTGCAGTACAATTTCAGAGAGATCCATACACTTGAACACAAGTTATTGTCTGGAAACTAGAAAAATGCTTATTTTTGGCCCCTTTTTGGCCCCAAATTCCTAAACGTTTTGGACAATTACCCCCAAACTCAATTCCAGCTTTCCCTTTGTGATATGGAACCTTATAGTACAATTTCATAAAGATCCATACACTTACACACAAGTTATTGTCATGAAACTAGATAAATGCTTGTTTTTTGCCCCGAATTCCTAAAATTTGGAGGCAATTAGCCCCAAAATCAATCCCAGCATCCCTTGTGATATGGAACCTTGTGGTACAATGTCAGAGAGATCCATACACTAACACACAAGTTATGTCTGGAAGTTACAAAAATGCTTATTTTTGGCCCCTTTTTGGCCCCTAATTCCTTAACTGTTGGTACCATAACCCCCAAAATCAATCCCAACCTTCCTTTTGTGGTATTGAAACTTATGGTAAAATTTCATAGAATTCAATTCACTTAAACTAAAGTTAGAGTGTGAAAACCAATGTGTCTTCGGAGGACGACAACGATGACGACGCCAACGTCATACCAATATACGACCGCAAAATTTTTTTGCGGTCGTATAAAAATCCTAGTGGCCATCTTGAACAGTAAATCAGCAACAAAGTAGCAACACTTCATCAGCACCTCATAAGAAACATTTATGCCATGTTTGGTTTCATTCCATTCAGTGTACCTCTAGAAGAAGCATTTGTATGTATTTCCAATAGGGTCTTATGTTAAAGGAAGTCCCCCCGCTGGCGGCCATCTTGGATGAAGGATCAGCTTCAAAGTAACAACACTTAGTCAGCACCTCATAAGGAACATTCATGCCATGTTTGGTTCAATCCATTCAATGGTTCTCTAAAAGAAGACATTTATATGTATTGTCCATAGGGTCCTATGTTAAACTAAGTCCCCGGCAGGCGGCCATCTTGGATTATGGATCGGCTTCAAAGTAACAACACTTGGTCAGCACCTCATAAGGAAAATTCATGTCATGTTTGGTTTCAGTCCATTCAGTGGTTCTCTAAAAGAAGACATTTGTAAATATTTCCCATAGGGTCCTATGTTAAACTAAGTCCCCGGCAGGCGGCCATCTTGGATTATGGATCGGCTTCAAAGTAACAACACTTGGTCAGCACCTCATAAGGAACATTCATGCCATGTTTGGTTTCATTCCATTCAGTGGTTCTCTAAAAGGAGACATTTGTAAATATTTCCCATAGGGTCCTATGTTAAACTAAGTCCCCCGCAGGCGGCCATCTTGGATGATGGATCGGCTTCAAAGTAACAACACTTGGTCAGCACCTCATAAGGAACATTCATGCCATGTTTGTTTGGTTTCTGTCCATTCAGTGGTTCTCTAAAAGAAAACATTTGTATGTATTTCCCATAGGGTCCTATGTTAAACTAAGTCCCCCACTGGCGGCCATCTTGGATGATGGATCGGCTTCAAAGTAACAACACTTGGTCAGCACCTCATAAGAAACATTCATGCCATGTTTGGTTTCATTCCATTCAGTGGTTCTCTAGAAGAAGTTCAAAATGTAAAAAGTAAACGACGACGACAGACGCCAAGTGATGAGAAAAGCTCACTTGGCCCTTTGGGCCAGGTGAGCTAAAAATCAGATACCAGATTTGGCTGATAATTTCAGGGCAGGTAGACCTTGACCTAATGAATACCTTAACTTCTTGTCTGATTTGCTCTAAATGCTTTAGCGTTTGAGATATGTCAAAAACTGCATTTTACCCTATGTTCTATTTTTAGCCATGGCGGCCATGTTTTCTGAGGAATTGCTCACCTGTAATTTTTTGTTTAATTCTTTCATCAATGATTATTTTTGCTTTTCAATATATATTAATGAGTGGCTTAAAAATGCCATTTAAATGTTCTTTGTATGTAATATTTTCTTCAAAAGCAAAAAATGCATTTTACCCCAATGTTCCATTTTAGCCATAGTGGCTATGTTTCTGACGTACAAGGAAATAAAATACAAAATGTATACTAGATACTCTGAAACTCATTCAGCCCAAGTTTGGCTGAAATTGATTCACCAGTTTCAAAGGAGAAGATTTTTTAAAGTAAGCAAACTAGATGAAAAAATTGTGAAAAATTGTCTTTAAAGGACAATAACTCCTTAAGGGGTCAATTGACAATTTTGGTCATATAAAAACTTATTTGTAGATCTTACTTTGCTGAACATTTTTGCTGTTTACAGTTTATCTTTATCTATAATAATATTAAAGATAATAACCGAAAACTGCAAAATTTCCTTAAAATCATCAATTCAGGGGCAATAACCTAAAAATCAGAGACCAGATTTGGCTGATAATTTCAGGGCAGGTAGACCTTGACCTAATGAATACCTAAACTTCTTGTCTGATTTGCTCTAAATGCTTTAGTTTTTGAGATATGTCAAAAACTGCATTTTACCCTATGTTCTATTTTTAGCCATTGCTGCCATGTTTTCTGAGGAAACAGAAAATAAAACACAAAAATAAATTTTAGATAACCTAAGAATCATTCAGCTTAAGTTTGGTTTAATTTGGTTCAGTAGTTTCAGAGGAGAAGATTTTTTAAAGTTAGAAAACATGATAAACGAATTGTGTAAAATTGTCCTTAAAGGGCAATAACTCCTTAAGGGGTCAATTGACAATTTTGGTCATATAAAAACTTATTTGTAGATCTTACTTTGCTGAACATTTTTGCTGTTTACAGTTTATCTTTATCTATAATAATATTCAAGATAATAACCGAAAACTGCAAAATTTCCTTAAAATTACCAATTTAGTGGCAGCAACCCAACAATGGGTTATTAGATTCATCTGAAAATTTCAGGACTGATAGAACTTTACCTCATGAACACTTTTACCCCAGTCAGATTTGCTCTAACTGCTTTGGTTTTTGAGATATAAGCCAAAAACTGCATTTTACCCCTATGTTCTATTTTTAGCCATGGCAGCCATGTTTTTTGACGAAACAGAAAATAAAACACAAACTTTATTCTAGATACCCTAAGGATCATTCAGCTTAAGTTTGGTTGGAATTGGTGCAGTAGTTTCAGAGGAGAAGATGTTTGAAATAGTTTACACCGGACGGATGACAATGACGGACGCCAAGTGATGGCAAAAGCTCACATTTCCTTTGGAAAGGTGAGCTAAAAATGGCTCGAGTAAAGGTAGAATTATTGCAATTGGGAAATTCACTAGTCCAAGGTACACCAAACGACATAGAATAAAAAGACTTGCTTTAAATTTTTTATTTGTAATAAATTTTCATTATTCAAGTTGCATACAATAATATTCTCAATACACATTGTTGAGGTTATTGCAAATATATAAGACAAATAAAGATATTATGAAACACATCTGAACAAAACTTTGCATAGAAAAAGAACTTTATCTAAAGTGAACACTTGAATTAAGTACAATTAATGTTATTAGTAGGTTACCAAGTAAACTGAACACTTTCTTATATCAAAAACCTAAGTAATCTTCACTCCCTGGAGTGTTATCAAACCAATTTTGGTAAAGATATAATTTATGGTACAAAAGGTATTTTCTGAAAGCAGAAATGTTGTGGTTAACCAACATTTGTTACATTATTAGCCAAATACAATATAAATTGATCAGGATGGTTTCTCTTACTTATGAAGAAGCTTCTGTCCAAGTTTTGTGAAGATCAGTGAAGTCATTAATCGCCCTTATTGAGACATCACGAGAAGCAACATTGCTTGTACACACATTATAATTTAGTATCTGACTTTGATATGGGCAAGGGAACCAAATTCAACCTGGATTATTATCTATTTACCAGTTAAAAAATCTCAACTAAAAAATAACTCAAATATAAAAATGTTCCATTGCCCATGTTAAATGCATTATTCCTATGTCTGATTGGTCAGAATAACAAACTTCAAAGCATAAATGCATTATTCCTATGTCTGGTTGGTCAGAATAACAAACTTCAAAGCATAAATGCATTATTCCTATGTCTGGTTGGGTCAGAATAACAAACTTCAAAGCATAAATGCATTATTCCTATGTCTGGTTGGTCAGAATAACAAACTTCAAAGCATAAATGCATTATTCCTATGTCTGATTGGTCAGAATAACAAACTTCAAAACATCTTCTCTAGTTTCAAAGTATTTGCAGGCAACATTGTTACCTATGATAAAATTTAATATGGAATTTCGAAAATCAGGGTGTGAATGCAATCTATGCTTTAAAGGGACACTCTGAAGAAACACTGCATTTTCTAATTAGTCAGTATATGAAATGTATTGTGTCATTATGTAATTTAGTTGGTGTTAGCACTTGAAACTATTTCAAATTTTTTCCCCAATATAGCAGTGTTTGTCTTACTGACCATATCGTGGGACATTAAAATGTAACATAATTCTATCAGAAGCTAATGACTCAGGAAAAAAGTGCTGCCTGGGAGAGAAAAAATTGTAACTTTTTCTATAAACATAATTTTTTTTAAATGAATGTAGAAGATAAATACTGATAAAAAATGTCAAGAAAATTTTCCAGTCGAATTTCCAGCATCAGATATGCTGAACATGATCTAAATATTGCAGTCAAAATAAACAAATACAATTTATTAATATAGAGTTTTAACTTGAAATGTGTATGAAAATTTATAACATATGGTATATAATGTTGGTTAAGACTCATTGCTGCCTTTTACATAAATAAGAATGATATTAATGTACAGGTATATAATTTGCTTTGTATTTCATGAATGAATATGTCATACTGAGATATGTGAGGTTGTTTTATATACAATGGTTTGCTGAATGAAGTCCACACATTTATTTCACTGTTCTCACACCAACATAAAGCCTATTTACAAACATATAGAATATCAACCATTCCTACTGCAAGTAATAACAAAATACACCCAACAATATTATATGACTAGAATAATAACTGTCCTTTTAGAAAGAAAAAAAATCACAAAAATTTTACCTGATTAACTTACATGCAGAGTACAGTTTAAAGAAGAAGAAAGAATACCCTAAAGGACCATTACGTATTTTTTTTGGGAAACTTTCATAAAATTTTAAACTTATATTCACTAACAAAAATACACATTTGACTTTTTTTCTTCAATTCAGTCTTCAGCATTCCTAACAAATGTATGTTAAGATTTCAGTTCCTTTTGTTAGTTTTTCCCTAATATGGTAAAAAGGTTTGCTCTTTTATCATAAATTATGGGAGTATTACAGCTAATATAGACATCTAAAAAAAACTTCTTTTCATACAGTACATGTACACGATGTACAAAAGTGTAAAATAATAATAACATTGTTCTGCAAGTTTCACTATCTTGCAAAGTAAAACGAAACATTACAAAATATAAAATGAATGTAACAATTAAATCAACACATTCCCTTGTCTTTTGCAATGGAGATGAACTAAAAATTACTATGTCAATGATGAACTAAATATGAAAAAATAATGTATAAAACACATCTTTTGGTTCAAGACTACTTATATCATGTAAATGTCCTCCAAAAACTGTCTAATTAAAGGAAGACAAAACCGTGTAGTCATGTGATATAAAAGCTAAAACATCACTAAAATAGTCACTATTTTTCCACAATCCCTGTAAACAGAATCAATTAAAATTTGACTAGCACTGAGATCAATATCCAACAGGACTAACATCTTATTAGCCCAAGACTTTCTGGGTGATATTTGGTACCATCTATTCTATAAGAAGAACAATCTGTCTGACAGCTCTGTACTTGGTTCTTTGTGGATATTCTGGCCAACCAAGTAAGCCAACTTATGGGCATACTGAAAAGGAACCAAGTAAATGCATTCATTTGTAATAATACAAGAAACTAACTAAAATAGAAAGAAGAAATTTAAAAAAAAAATATAATGTAAATCAGTATTATTTGTTAAATGTTTACACAGGGGTTGTTTTATTCATACACTATTGAAAGTAACGTGGCTGTAAACATTGAAATTTTTTACACCAGGGTTATTTTTGCCTATTTCACAATCATGAAAATTGGACAAACATATTCAGATGAAAGATGACCTTAATGTTGATACTCAAATTTAACACTTGAACAAAATGCATTTAAATCGAAAAATATTCACATTTCCACTATCAACTGATAGTTTAAAGAATACGCACCAATAACTTTTATTGTTCATCTTGAACAGAGAATTCAGTATTTCAACAGACTAAACTGAGTTCTCGGCATGTTTAAAATTTGTTCTGTGCATTGCATTTCAACATGTTCTAACTCTTACCTGACAAGGTGCAGGGACCCTTACAGTTCCTGGCCAGTTATAATACAAATGAGTCATTTTGTATGACAGTCGCTGAAGATGATCTGGTCTCATGCTAGAACTGTCATGTACCACAATATAATGTGTTGGTGACACTGTTCCTTGTCTTACATGCTGAGAAACAAGGTAGAAGTCATACCTACAATATACATAAGTAAAATAAATTCAAATGTGACCTCAGACTTTTTTCCTTTTTCAGTTTTCCTAACTATTTCATGTCAAATGTAAACCAATGAAGAGTGTGTCCCATACCATGTGTCCCCTGCTTGTAAAAATACGGCAAATTCTGCAATTTTTTTCCATTTATAAAGAGACATAACTCGAGAACGGTGAAAATGACCCCACCCAAATTCAAACTTGATCTGTGTTTGGTGATAACATGTGGTTGAGGCAAACTAATTTAGAGAATGGAAACTAATTTTGGGACGTACAGACCTACAGAGGGACAAGGGTAAAACTTAATCCCCCCTCTGCCACTGCGGGGGTATAAAAACATTGCATCCTATTTTAATCCTGACATTCTGAACAGGGCAACATCATCACAAATTGGGTTCATTAAACTGACTAAGCTTATGGCAGATTTTACAATAAAAAGGAAGTATTGTTTTTTTGTATCCATCAAAAAAGGAATTGCTGAAACTGTGAAACAGAGTGTGAAATGAAGTAATGCATTATGTTATTTAATAAAAGGTGTCTTTCTGAGTAAATAAAAATAAAAATTACCCTGTGTTTATGTTGTTTGTTAGAATAAGAGGGTTTTCAATTTCAAAATATTGGACATTGAATAGACATTGTGACCTACTTGACTGACATCTAGCTTTTTTGGAGTGGAATTTTAAAGTATTATTTATAAGTGGAGCCTAATAACATGGACTTATATTTTAATGAAAAGTCTTCTTTTGTGTTTTAATTATTATTTTAAGGCATATTTTTATTGGTAAAGGCTAAAAAAGGTAATTTAATAATATTATTGCGAACGTCACATCTTTTTTGTCCATTGTGGTATGTTACGATCGCAATTTTCGTGTTGGTTCTCAGACGGCCCATTGTTATTTTTAACTCGGGTTTTATAAATAATTGATATAAATAGCAATCACATTAAATTTTGATGACGAAAGGGGGTCAAAGGACTTTCGGGATCAATATCATTGGCTGTTTTATTTTTTGCGAACGTTACTGCTCTACATTTCCGTTCAAATCAATGTCACGTGAGCAATATATATTTACATCTGTAACTCTCCTGGATAGGAGTTACGATATCGCCCTTTGCAGAAATGGATGCGGAGCCGGTTCCCTCACATAATGGGAAAGCAAAGAAGGTAAGTTGTCTGTTATATCGTTACATGAGGTCCTTTATTGTATTCCGTCCATCAAAAAGACATTCGCAACAAAACGTTGAATCAAGTAATGTCATTTAAATGTCACATTAAGAAACTTTTGTTGCGGTTTTTCATCTCCCAACGAGATTTGACCATATTTTACGTACAGTTAAATCTTCTAGTTCATCAAAATACATTTCTTTTAATAATTTGATGCGAACGGTATAAGATGGACAGATTGTTATGTAGCTATCGTTACTTTGGGACAGTAATTGAGCGTTGCGATTGTCGATCTGTGTCTACTGAGACATGCCTGATCGTCGCGAACGTTCATTGGAGACATGCACAGTTGTTGCGAATGTCACCCTGAAGACAGTTAAGAAAATAAATAATGTTGCTAACGTCTTCAGTTGGACAAAAAATACGACAACAATTTAATAAATTTCCAAATTAATTTTACAAACATGTTTGTGAGGAACAGTTAAACAAACTACTAATGTTTGTTTATTTAGTATTCTTTTTTATTTAAACCCATGATTTTGCATTAATTTTGACAAGAGATTGAAAAAACATGCTGTGTTGCTAACGTTATGACAAGACATGTTTTGGAGTTGCTAATGCTACAAATAAGACTAAAATTTAGTGTTTGGCACTGACAGTTTGATAATCAGGGATTCCCTGCCTGAAAAATAATCAAATGGTCCATGGCTTGGATTAATCCCTACCATTGTATTAAGCCATGCATTTATGAGGATGAAAAGGGGTAGGGGGATACATACACAGAAAAAAATGTGAAATAAGACGTAATTTCTGACATGACCTAGCTTGCAGAGCTTGTCCCATATCAAAAAGTGGACATTTGCCCGGCCAAAATGGATGCACTGCTTCATTGCTTCTTGAGTTGACTGACGGCATTGGATCCATATTTTAATATGGGTGAGCTCTGAGTCTGACATTCCATGGCCACAGCTTGTCTGGCAAAACAGTCGTTGCAGATTTAATGGTATAATCTTTAAAAAAAACATTTGTCACATTGAATAAAATTTGAGACATATATTTTTTTCTGCAAAGAATATGTTCCTTTAGGATAAGGGGAACTGGCCAAATTCTTTGTCAGAACTTAAAATTCTGGTATCATTTTTATCTGTACGATTCTGTCCCTCACCTGTTTTGAATTTTAGTTTATATAAACCTCACGTTGAAATGTACACTCAATGAAGGGGGTTACCATCTAACACACATAAATACATTGTTTTCATCTTTATTTATATTTTTGACTTACAAAATGTACCTTCTGAACGAGGATGAATATGTTTATACATATGTATACACAAATTAATAAGAAATGATAACAAGAGAACCAAAAAGAACAGTCTTGCAGGGCTGTTGTCAGAACAGTACACTTTCAAGTCTAACAAAAACTGCTGAAAGGCGACATCCCCCCCCCCCCCCCCCCCCAAAAAAAAAACCTACCTACCTACCCACTTTGAAAAATGTGGGTAGGGGAATGGGGGAAACAAACATTTTTTTAAGGATGGCCTTGGGAATCTCTGTCAAGCTAGTCTACAATTTGTTTGAAAAATACCAAGCACGTAAAATAAGCACTTAAAAATTACAATGTAAGTAAAATTAAATTTATAAGCAGAACACCTTGAACATGTACCTGTCTTGCACAACTGAACTTCAAATAATAAAGTACAGACAGGGAATAAGTTGCACAAAAATAAACCTTTACCACCCTCATAGACATGTAATTAAAATTATATAATAAATATTGAGGAACAAGGGTTATTTTTATTATAATTGACTTGGATGGAGAATTGTCTCATTGGCACTCATACCACATCTTCTTATATCTAATTAGCATGCAATTATCTTTGAAGACACAGACACAATTAAGTCAATTTACAACATCGAAAAAACAAATCAACATACTGATAATTTTTATCTGACCGCAAACAATTTTTGAGATCTTATATTGGTATCACGTTGTCGTTGTCGTCCGAAGACACATTGGTTTTCGCACAATAACTTTAAGTGAATGGATCTCTATGAAATTTTACCATAAGGTTCAATACCACAAAAGGAAGGTTGGGATTGATTTTGGGGGTTATGGTACAAACAGTTAAGGAATTAGGGGCCAAAAATAAGCATTTTTGTAACTTCCAGACAATAACTTGTGTGTTAGTGTATGGATCTCTCTGACATTATATCACAGGGTACCATACCACAAAGGGAAGGCTGGGATTGATTTTGGGGGTAATTATCTCAAAATTTTAGGAATTGGGGGCCAAAAAGGGACAAAAAACAAGCATTTTTCTAGTTTCCAGACAATATCTTGTGTTCAATGGTATGGATCTCTCTGAAATTGTACTGCAAGGTACCCTACCACAAAGGGAAGGCTGGGATTGAGTTTGGGGGTGATGAATCATAAGGGGGTTCAGAAAATTTTGGGGGTGATTTTTTTTCTGTCCAAAATTAAACTTAGTTAAATTCTTGGGGTTCTTTGATATGCTGAATCTAAACATGTATTTAGATTTCTGATTTTGGGCCCAGCTTTCAAGTTGGTCCAAATTGGGGTCCAAACTTAAACTTTGTTTGATTTCAACAAAAATTGAATATATGGGGTTCTTTGATATGCTGAATCTAACCATGTATTTAGATTTTTTATTTGTTGGCCACGCTATCAAATTGGTTCATATTGAGGTCAAAAGGGTCCAAAATTAAACTTTGTTTGATTTCATCAAAAATTGAATTCTTTGGATTCTTTGATATGCTGAATCTAACCATGTATTTAGATTTTGAAAATTGGACCATAATAGGTAAATAAAAAAAAATTAAGTTCTTAGACCACATTCATTTTGTGTCAGAAACCTATGCTGTGTCAAATATTTAATCACAATCCAAATTCAGAGCTGTATCAAGCTTTAATGTTGTGTCCATACTTGCCCCAACTGTTCAGGGTTCGACCTATGTGGTCGTATCAAGCTGCGCCCAGCGGAACATTTTATTATTTTTATTTTTGATGTTTTAACTGGCTTCCCTCTTTCTTATATATATTTTTTTAAATTCCTTCCAGAAGCATCGCTGCACTATATGGAGGCAAGAACTCAAACAAAATAACCCACAGAAATACAAAGAATATTTAGAAAGGCAAAAGAATATTCAAAAATTAATAGACAAAAACTGAAATCAATTAGAATGAATAGGAACAGAACACCAGAAGAAGAGCAAATGAACAAAAATTACTTGGAAAACCAAAGATTAAGGCAAGCTAAACACAGACAAAGGAAGAAGGAAGCTAACCCAACATCACCAATAAAAGTGAAGATTGGACAAAACAAAAATGCTCATCCTACACAAAAAAAACCAGCAACCAGAAAAAATGTTAAGACAAAGAGAGAGAAATGGAGAATGGCAAAGGCTAAATGTAGGGCAAACATATCTAACTATAAAAGAAGATGGATTAAGGAAAAAGATAAAGAGTCGTAAAAAACAAACGAAAGATGAAGAGAAAAACTATCAAAAGAAAAATAAGCAATCGCCTGAAAACATACAAATAACCAAAAGCAGTGGGAAAACATATAAAACAAAGCAGTCCTTGTGGAATAAGGCATCTTCAGTGCGACAAAAACTGCCAACTACACCAAGAAAGTTTGCGGATGTTATAACACATATCATTAAAAACACAACACCAAGAAAGAAAGATGCCATTTACGAAGAACTGAGGATTCTTAAAGAAAAAAAATATGCAAGCATATTTATTCGTCGAAATAAAGCATTTGCTAAAGACATCTTAGATAGAAATACACTCAGATCT